TAAGGGACGTGAACTGCGGTCGACTACGTGGGAGTCAAGTGACATAGCCATTACACTAACTGCTGGTCCCTATTTTTAAAATTTAAACAGAGAGAGACACAGAGGAAAAAAGTGAGAAAGCAAGCCACCATGTCTGGGATTTGAATCGTGATCGGCCATGTGGGAGTGTCCAGTGCCCTAACCACCATGCCACTTGCTGGTACCTTTTTTTAATTTATTATTATTATTATTTTTTTGCTATAAGGTGCATGCGCTTGCCAGAAAGACAGAGAGAGATAGAAAGATAGAAAGTGAGAAATCACCTCCCTTGAGGGATGGCCACACCGCAATCCCTTCTCCTCCATTCTCCTCTCAGGATCTTGGGCATGCACGCACACGCACTCGGCGTGAGTTTATGCCACCAGGTCTGGGACTCAAACTGTGATCGACTACATGGGAGTTCAGCAACATAGCCATTATGCTATCTGCTGGTCCCAGTACCTATTTTTTTTTTTTAATTGCCAGAGGGCACATGCACTCACCAGCGAGAGGCAGAAGGAGATGATCTTGCTGAAATCCCTTCACCATTTCTTCATTCTGTTGGGATTTTGGATGGAATGTTTTAAAACTTCAGATGGAGGCAAGAAGCCCTGTGTCTCTCATAGGAAGCCGAAGGTTGTGAGGAGCTTTGGATTGCCCACAACTATGCAGAGAGGGGCTTGTCTGAGAAAACGGGAAGACACAGAAAGGCTTGAAGATGCTCAGTGCCTGGATCAAGCTGTTTCTGAGGCCAGCTTAGTCCCTGCCCCTCTGTGTTATGCATGTGGGCCAGAGGTCCATGCTTGTCCATTTCGTGCAAGGTTTCGTGTTCATCTGTCATTTGGAAGAGGAGCCCCCAAGTCTCTAGGCTACAGAGAAGAGGGAGCTTTGAGCTGGTCTTCACCATGGGGTGAGGTGTAGTAGGGTGGAATGGGAGGGTGTTCCTGATGGAAGAAAATGAGTAATAGGAGGCAAAAAGGCTCAGGATCACATCGTGTTCATGGAATGACAAGCAATGGCATGTCCTGGCCTGTGGTGTCAATTCCTGGGAATTCTAAGGTGAAGTTGGGGCCACCGTGAAAATCTGTAATTAGTCTGAAAGGGCCGGGGCCAGCCCCTACCTTCTCCTCCAGACATACTTACCTCTCTCTCCCATGTGTGCATTTAGAGCCTACGGTGGCTTTCCATTGTGAAATTAGGATGTTTTAAAGTACACGTGTTCATGTACCCACCTCCCAGATTAACGAATGGGAACCTTATTCTACTGTGAGGGCTTCACAGTATTACCATTTTTCAGTTTGCTAAATGGCACAGGCACTTGCCAGGAAAAGATAGAAAGTGAGAAAGTGGGAAAGCACTCGCAGGGCGGATGGCATGTGCACGTATGCATCCTGTGTGTTTTTCAAGCCGCTAGGTCTGAGACTTGAACCATGCAGTTAGCCATGTGGGATCTAGCCGCCCTATCCACCTGCTGTTTTTTGTTTGTTTTTTTAAGGAAAGAAGGCACATTTACACAGTCTGAGCCCATCTCTGTCCCAAACATTGATGCTCATTTACTTCTTAGAGGAATTGAAATTAGTGTGGGTCCTTCCTGTTCTGATCACCTATATCCATGAGAGGCAGTGTTGCCAAATGGTTAAGGGTATGCTCAAGAGCTGGATTCCTTAGATTTAAAGTCCAAGTCTAGGTGCTGGCAGGTGATGTGGTGGTTAAAGGCACTGGACTCCCACTGGCTGACCGCAGTTTGAATCCTGGACCAGGTGGTTTGCCTTCTCAATTTCTCTCTCTCTCTCTCTTTCTCTCTCTCACTCTGCTCCTCTATGGTCAAATTAGGATAAATAAAGAAATAAATAAAATAATCCTTTAACAAAATAAAGTCCAACTCTACCACTTTCTTTTTTTTAGAGAGAGATTTTTGCTATAGTGCATGTGTGATCACTGGAGAGACAGAGAGACAGAAAGCGAGAAGTCACCTTCCAGGGGTTCGGCCATGCCACAATCGCTTCCCCTCCATTCTCCTCTTGGGATCTTAGACACGCACGCACACGCGGCTGGGGTGAGTTTTAAGCTGCCAGGTCTGGGACTCGAACTGCGATTGACCACATGGGAGTCCAGTGATGAGACCATTATGCCATCTGCTGGTCCCTCAGCTCTACCACTTTCTGTGATCTTGAGCAAGTTATTAAATGTCTCTGAGTCCCAGCTTTGTCTTCTGCAAAAATGGAGATAAGGTAAGCAAAACACTTGGGACAATGCCTAATCCCTCGACATGCGTTAGGCATTCTTAGGGTGCACTATACTGGAACTGTTTAAAAAGCTATGTA